GGAATAAAATCGGAATTTTTGCTGTTATCGTGATAAAAATTTACGATTTGATATCGGAATTTTTCCGGGTCTCTGATTGCGCAGTATTCAAGTCACGTGAAAGTCACGGGTGGAACCTCGGGTCTCACACGTGATCAAAATGTTGTTCGATAGATCGGATCTGTGAAGCGGTGAGCTTCGAAATAGCATTTGCACTATAAGAAATAACCCGTTTAATCTTATCTACTCCAATTTTCCGAAACAGCTTAAAAATCTTTACGGCCCTTTGAGTTTTTTTACGCAAAGTATCCTTAGTAAACCCGCCAGGGAGATGCTCCATTGTATCATCATACACTTGATTTCTTGCCGATTGATCACTAACTCCTCTCCGAGCATTCTTAATCCCCTCAACCCTCTCTTCATACGCCTTCCCATAATAATACCAACACGAAATTTCTTCTTGGATTGCTTTCGTAGCACGTGTCTCTGCTCTACAAGCTTTTTGAAACAGACGGGCTAAAGCCTTTGGCATTGAAGCTTCCGAATCATCTTCAGCAACTTCATTATTCTCGATAGATTCTCCCCTGACAGGCGTAGATAATTCTTGCAATAAGCCCTGCAAGATATTGTGCTCACGGGTGTTGTTTCCAAAGGTAACTGATTGTCTTGATGAACGCCTTGGCGAACGTCTCAATGGCCGAGTTTGAGTAGTGTTATTCCCATCATTCGTAGCTGAATCCTGAGAATCATTTCCACTATTTTCATTAGGTGTATTCTCCAAATTATCTTGTACATTGGCGGAGCGGTTTGATGCATCTGGTGTCCTTTCATCATCATTATTTTCAGAAGCATCATCCTCAATCACGATTGGGCTTGTTTCCTGATCCTTCATAGTGACATGCTTCGACTGACTCCCCTGACCAGCACGAGAGTCACCTTCTACCAATCCTAGCGAAGCCATGAGCTCCTCATCATCCTGTTCAGTGTCAGTTTGTTTTTTCTGAAGATGATATTTTCCAGAGGCGAGTACTGCTTCTTCTCTAGTCAATGTAATGATTATCTCACACGAAGGGCATGTAAGAGTAAAAGGATTTGTTTCTGCTTGCAAAATATACTTCTCAAGACATTGGCGGTGGAAAATGTGTTCGCAATCTAACACAACGAACGATTGAAATCGATATGTTAAGATTGCTTTTTGGCAAATACTGCAAGGATAGAGTTTCGGAATTCTGCTGGGGATAGTTGAAATCTCTTGATTTCGAAGATAATTTAATGCAAGTACTTCGAGTTGGGAAGGCTCAGAAGTATCTGTTTGAATTTCCGAAGTGCTGGTCGAAGGTTCACTAGCCATAGTGGTGAATTGTAAAGAGTGAAGTGCGAAGTGTGAAATAATTTCCTCATGTTCACTCCTACTTATATTACTTTCATCCCTATGATCAAAGATCTTCGAGGATAAGTTAACATCCTCCTATCTTGTTCCGCAAATATAGTAAGTTCGAGATTACTGAAATATCAATCTTGCAAACAACGCACCTATCTTGTTTTCCCATACACTAAGGATCCGCCGTGATCGTTGCAAAACATGAATATCCCTGGATCTTCGTTGACAGTCCAATTTACTGATCAGTTTCGTCCCTAATTGCCCTGCATGAAATTCTCACTACTGGTCAAATGGACATACTAGAAAAATTAAGTGATGCGATTTTTTTTATTTGCAATACATTGCAAGGTTCTATCCTTTTCATTGGTTTATCTATCCTCTGGACACCATATTCATTATAATCCTTGCCATCGTAATGCTTACGAGAACTGATTCCTGGAACGAGAATTAGGTGTTAGTTTACAGGCTCTAAGACGTCTTGCTTGCAAATGTACAGCCATAGCCAAAGTGTATTCCCGCCTTAATTACATATTGTCTTGTTGTTCAAGACCTTCGTCTCCAATATTTCTTAATAAAGTGTGTAGCTTCGGAAGGTTAAAAAAAAGTGAATATATATGCGCTTTGCACGTCGCACAGCCCCTATTCCTCGGCAAGAATTTTACCGATATCATACGACTATGCTTGTGCGGGACACCACATACAATTATTTTTACTTCGCACCAGAGTTGGGAAAAATTTCTTGGACAAATAATTCCTTGGAGAAACGGTGTCGGCGAAGATAAATGCAACGAATCGTCACAACCGTCACAATATAGTTTTATTTATTCGGTGCACAGTTATATCATATCACAAGTTAGAAAAAATCACGAGTTCAATGTGCGTAAGCATTTTATTTTTGAGTACAAGATAACATGTAATTAAGATACAAATATTGCGTAATACATCCACAATTACAAACATAAAAAATTTAACTTTGCTCAAAGAAACCTGCATCAACGACGATACTTCTTTTTCGAGTTCTTACTTTTTTTATTTTTCTTTGTAAGGGGATGGGTATTGTGTTTTTCTAGTGAATCTGAAAGAAAAGGAACGGTTATAAAAATTTAAGATAAAAAAATGAGTAAATTTTACGCAAATACCGACCCTGTCTGATCCTAATCTCAAATACAAATCCATCTGCTGTTCCCCATGCCACAGCTGGATCGAGCTGAAAATCCTTTTTCAAGTAATCCCCAAGTGGCAATAACAAATATTCCATATGGTTCCATTCAAATAAACGACCGTAACAGTCTAGAAAAAGCATTCCACAATAAAGTTCCCCAATGATAATGATATGATTGAAACCATACCGTTTAACACGTTCCATATAAATGATAAGATCTTCTAAAGGTGCTTTAGCTTTGATTTCAAGACCAATATAAGATGCAATACGACAAATATCAGATTCACATGCGATCATTTCAACCAACATTAATGAATTACTCGGATCGTTGCGAAGCCCCAGCATTTCATCATCCTCGCTACCCACTTGCACTTGAGACATGGAGGCTTGATCTTCTGATTCTCTATCATTATTGTCTGGGAATATAAGTTTACACGGTTTCTTCGGAATTTCTGTCCATGGAGTGCTATCCAAGGCACCGTTTCGGCACAATTCCCCCAGGGATGCCTGCATAATTCGGATTCTTTCTTTGTTAGGACAGCATCCAAACGACACCCCTTCAATGCTTTGATTGTATTCGTCCTCGATTCCGCCGCCAATTTGTTGTTTTGGAATATAATCTTGCTCATTTCTTTTTGTTCCTGCTTTACTAGTTCCCTGTCTTTCTTCCCAGTACGAATAGATACCCCGAACATACATTTTATTATCTTCATTCTCCGACTTCGTCGTTTCTGACATTTCTTCTTTTGTAATTTTTTTGTTGAAATCGTTATATTTATTGTGGTCGGGAGACCTTCCACATCCGTTTCCATCATTGTTATCTTGTCGGCAAGGAGAGCCAGTTTCTCGAGAAGAAATACCTTTTGGGCTTGGAAATTTTTCAAATCTTTCTTCCTGAGAAGCTGAAGTTGATTCATTACGTGATACGACCATAATAGGCAGATCGCATCCCATACCGTTATTATTAATATCGAGCGACTGTGAGGAAGGGTCACCATTTTGCCCGTGGGACCGAACGGAATTACGGTTCCTTGTTCCCTATATAAAATGTGGTAAAATACACTTATTTTTTTTTCTTTTGGAATAGTGCAAAATGCAAAAAACTAACATGAAAGGTTTCACGAAATCCGTTATCAACTCTTTCGCCCATAATTCTTTTAAATTTTCTAACCACGAATAAGCGTATAAACTTGAAAAATGAAAAATAGAAACTTAGTATAAAAGTAAGAGTGAGTAACTGTGCTAAGTTAAACCTACTTTCGGATCTATGTGGGAATACTTGTGAGAATACCTGACATTTGGAGTCAAATACTGCGCATTTCAGGTGATCGGGTCCATATGACCGGTCTATGCTTATTGCTTGAAGTAGAGCTCCGAACAGGTCGGTTCAGGTCAGGTCAATCAAGTTACCTGAACTGAGAGGATCAGGTCAGGTCAAACAAAAATCTGACCTGATTTAAATTTTCATTTGACCTGACCTGACCCGACCCGACCTGATCGAATTATTATAAAACATTATTTTTAAATGATAAAATCATCGTTCTTGAACGTCGTTCTCGAACGATAAAACCATTGTTCTCGAATGATAAAATCATCGTTCTTGAACGATAAATCATCGTTTTTGAACGATAAAATCATCGTTCTTGAACGATAAATCATCGTTTTTGAACGATAAAATCATCGTTCTTGAACGATTATATTATCGCCAAGAACGATAAAACCATCGTTCTCGAAAGATAACGAATCGTTCTAATTGAACGATAAAACATCGTTCTTGAATGATAAAAACATCGTTCTTGAACGATAAAACCATCGTTTTCGGACGATAAAACCATCGTTCTCAGACGATAATGAATCGTTCTAATTGAACGATAAAACTAACGTTCTCAGATAATAAAAACATCATTCTCGGATGATAAAACATCATTTTCAGACGATAAAAACATCGTTCTCAAATGAAAAAACTATCGTTCAAGAATGATAACGAATCGTTCTAATTGAACGATAAAATATCGTTCAAGAACGATGATTGGTTGACCTGAATTTTGTCAGGTCGGGTCGGGTCGGGTCGGGTCGACCTGTTGACCTGACCTGACATTAAACTGAAAACCTACTGACCCGACCTGGATTTTCAGGTCAGGTCAGGTCAGGTAAACAGGTCGACCTGACCTGATTCGGAGCTCTACTTGAATATCTTTTTAAGTTTTGAGTAATAATATTTTTTTTATTGTATTATTTTAATAGGCTTAACAACTTAATTCGCAAGTGTATTAGTGAATGAGAAATAAAAGATTACGTACCTAAAAGAATTAAAAGTAATTTAATCTTTAATCGAAATATCATTACCAATTCACTAAATAATTACCACATTTAAATTCTTTAATCACTTCATCATCCATGTGCTTATTTATGATTTTCATATATTCTTCTTTTTTATATGAAGAATCTGAAGTAAAGATCGAAATTGGAGTTTGACCTCTCCAATTACCTAAAAAAGCATCTAAGGTTTCCAATGAAAATTTAATAGATGTCATTAATCTAATTTCTCTAAAATTAACTGGTGCTGATTTTATTAATAGTCTTGATAATTTTTCTCCTATTCAAGACTTGCCTCCTCACGCGATTTTAAATCGTGATAATAATAAAAGTTCATTATTAATAATGCCTTCAATTTTAGACATGTTTTAGTAATTTTTCGAATTCAGCGAAATGAATTGTTGATCTTGGAAATGCGAGTGACAAATATTCGACCAAAGGACAATGTTCATAAACTATACGGATAAGGAAAAGTGATTCTTGATCATAGTTATCCTCCTTATCATATGAATCGACTAAAATTTCCCTAAGATGCCCTTTGCAGTTTTTAATCACGCAAATGATTGAGCTGATTTGAATAAAATTTACATGAAGGGTTCTAAGATTTTGATAACATGAACTTTGAACTTGATTTTCAAATTCAAGGTAATATATATTAAACTTTAACATTTTTAAGTTATGAAATTTTGAAAAGTTTATCAGTATCGGTGGTGGTTCCGGTCATGAGTCTCATTCATAAATATTATAATCTTCAAAGTTCGTCACCAAATAATTCAGGGTATTTTGCCTTTTTCTCTAATGTTAAAAAAATTACTTCATATAATTCTTTCATTATGGTCTCAGTATCATCATCAGTCCATATTGAATCATTCCATTCAAAATATTTTAAACTCTTCTGTACCTCAATCAACTTGACAATTCCATCATTGGCTTTATCTTTTTGTTATTAATGATGAGCCTTTGTATCGATTGACAGATACATGATAATTCATAAAAATACGTTAGATTAGTATACATATCATTACCACATGTGATTTTGATTTCACAAAGAGTATCAAGACATGTCTTGCCTTCTGTTAAATAAAATAGTTGATTATTAAATAATCTCATATTAAATTGCTTTAATTCTGTATATTTTCTCATAAAATTTCGTAAATTTCTTGTTGTAAATGAAATTTTTTATAAGTTGAGGAGGAACAACCAATAGAAATTATTTTGTTTATGATATCTATATTAATACTCTTACAGAAGTGCAAATAATTGAACAAAAGTGATATATGTGAAATTGAAGGTAAATAGACTCCCTTACTGGTTAAATATAACTTGATATTATTGGATAAAGAGGAGGTAATAATTTAATATAAAGAACTTTTGGTTTTATAATCTATTTCTTCTTCAAAATACCAGGGATTCTCCTATAAAAGCAGAACCATAGTTTTACACCAAAATCTATTAATTAATAGGTATGAAAAGAGGGACTTTAAGTCATCTTGTAATTCTTCATATAACAAGAAAAGAATATCTTTATATAGATTGAATATGTTTAAAAAAGAAATTGTGATACTTAAAAACTGACTGATTTATCTAAAAAAAGGTAGAAAAAAAAGCAAGAAAAACCTCCCATTATTTATAATTGATAACCAATGTATGGTCATGTATAATCATGAATAGTCATGAAGAGTATATATAGAGAACTGGTTATGCATTATTACCAATTTTGAGAAATAAAGTCAACATAATAGCTGTCATTATTTGTCAGAGAAATGTTATGTTTTTTGGCGCATGGAGATCGATTTTTATTTTTACAAAATGAATTCTTTAGCAAATTATTTTTTTTTTCATTATACAGTCATTCCCCTTTATAGTCACACCCCTTGAGATCAAAAATAAAAAGTGTGATTATAATAAAAAGTTACTATACAGAGGGATTTTTATATGTTGTTACTAAGTGTTGATTCTGAAAGGGTATAACTATAAAAACACTGTGATTATAAAGAGGTTTTTTATATAGCATTAATTCTTATGAAATGTGTGTTTATATGATGTGATTGTACAGGGGTGATTATAGAGAGGGACGACTATATATAAATTCATGTAATAAAGATTTTTTTTTTGCATATAAGTAAAGAAAGTCTTTATCAAATAATTTAGTTTAATTCTGGAGTTTGTTAGCATTTAAAAAATTTTTTTTTATCACCTTTAGAAAAAAATTATGATCAAAAAATAAAATAAAAATAATAATTTTTCTTTTATACTTCTATTCGACAAGAATTAATTAACGTTACGTATCAGATTATATTATTTACGATGATAAACATAAATCAGGATAAAAACTGATAAATCTGTTACAAAGGATAAAAAAATAGAAGCCATAAAAATATAAACGAAAATTATGATTATTACAAAAATTCTTTCTAAAGAAAAGAAAAGATTATGTAATAATTGCAACTAATAATATTTGGCAACTTTATATTGTAAAATTGAAAATTTTAAACTGAACATCAGGAAGCATGACGTTGATAGTTTAATCTAACATAAACTTGAGTGAATATCATACATATATAACTAAGATAGTAAAAGTTCTGATACTTCTTTTTTCGGAGAAGGTTATGATAGATGGGAAAATAATCTAGAATTAAAAACCTTAAAAGATTGGAAAATGTTAAACTTGCTAACAAAAGTTGGTTTAAAGAGATACGCGTAATTTAAAACATTTGTATATGAATTTATCTTCAAGATAACTAAATAAAATAAATAAATAATAAATAAGTTAGTGGGAAATCATGAGGATGACTATGATCTTGTAACAAAAATAATAAATGGAATAAGATCAAAAATAATATCAAACATTTTTTTAGAATATAAGAAATTAATGGATAAGTCTTTGGATGTTATTCATAATAAAAAAATTAAATAGAATAAAATAATCTTTAGAAATTTTTTAATTAAGTCAACCATAAACAGATGATGATTTAAAAATAAATAAAACATGTAATATAGAAATAATCCTTAGGCTGCAGAACATTTACAAGTAAAGTTTATAAATTCTTTTCTGATTATATTTGAAATGAGATAAGCAAAATTTTTTGTTAATTAAGAATAAGTTTCAGAAATTGAAACATATCAGTATCGACGTTATTAGTGATAATCTGTTTACGTTACTAAATAACTGCACTAACTAATGTCACCAATGATCACCAGGAAAATCGTGATCATTATTTTAACTAATTTTACTGCTATCACAGTTATCATTGTATATTTATTTTCTTTATTATTACATTTATCATTATTTTATTTACTATATTTATTTTCATAGTTATATTTACTTTCATTATTATATTTATTATCTCTATCTT